CCTCCCACCCCCCATTCCATCCCCATCCCACCCTGCCTCTGTGGCAGGGCATTCCCTTTTGTTCTCTCTTTCCTATTCGGTGTTGTGGTTTGTGAAAGAGTTAAACCTGATTTTCAGGGAGAAACGCTAGAGAATTTACTTTCCATTGACCACTTTATATATAAGAAGATGTCGCGCTGCCGCGTAAGAGTCCTGGTTCCTGCATAAGCGAGCTATGCTTGTAGAGGATCATGGTCACCGGGGTTCCCTCTGGAGGAGGCAGGATGCAGCACCTACCCCATCTGGGACTTCCCGGTGATCTCGGCTCTCTTTGGGACCCGGAGCATTCTCGGTAGCTGTGGAGGGCCCCCCACGGCCTTTCTGTAGGAGGTTCTTGAGTTGAACTGGTTGAAACTTGGGCTCTGTTTTCTAAATTCAAATCCAAGATGTTGTCATTGGTAGAGAATATTATTTTAAGAGATAAAAACATTCTATTCCTTATGAATTTCCAGTTTAAAATGTAAAGTAGTGTCCCTTGTTTGAAAATAGATTATGAACTGTCATCAGTGTGCTAAAACTGCTGAAATATATTTTTGCTTTCTAAAATTAATGGCTTTAAATAAATACTTTTTATTTTATTGGGGGCCACACCTGACTGTTCTCAAGGCCACTCATGACTCTGCACTCACGGATCACTCCTTTGGGGCTCAGAGGACCTTATCAGATATCAGAGGTATACTGTCCATCCAGATGCTCTGAAATAAACATAATTTTATTCATCGCATTATTATGTTTCTTTCAGGAGATAGGATCTGATTTTTATCATGAGATATATTTCTGGTTTTTAAAATCAAGAAGCATTTATCAAGCACCACTAGTTGCATACATTAACACGTGAAAGAAGATGAGAATGGAAAAATGGGAACAGGGAGGAAACAAAACAAGACAGAGTGCTTCTCCCAGTTTCTGGAGAGGAAATATCTTTAATAGAAGTAGTGTCTTATAAGAAGAGAAAAACTCAGCCTTGAATGAAATGTTTTGTTTCTCAATTCATGAAGCAGGCCCATTGAGGTTAAATTACATGACCCCATTTTTCTAGCTAATATGTTCCCAAAGCTTCTACCATGAAGCTTCAAAGTCAGTGAAGTTGAGAGGTAAAATGAGCTATTTTGGTGTAGATGAAATTTCAATGTTGAGAACCACATAGCATCATGTGCAGTAACCCCAACTTTATCTATATACCTTCACATTATTATTTGATACCATCCTTGTGTTAAAATTATTATTATTAACCAAAGTTCAAGGAAGTGAATTAGATTTACCCAAACAAGTAAACATTATAACACAGATTCACACCCATGTTTTGTAAGTAAAGCTATGGTCTCTGAAGTCCTCTTAATTGGTGTATAAAAATATTTCAAGTGTTGGATTTTTTTAAAGTAAGAAACAGTACTATATTTTAGGGGAGAAGAAAACATATTAGGCAAGAACAGGGCTTCCATGCTGAAAAATTAATCTATAGAGACACTGCAACTTTGCAAAGTCAGAAAGCTTCTATTTACACATAATGTTCAAATGTGGGTCGTCTTCATACAGCAGAATAGAATATTAAACAATAAAAACTAAAATGAAGGAAAGATGGAAGGAATTTGATAAAAAAAAAAGAGTAAGGAAGAGGGAAATCATAAGTTATACATGAAATAAAACATAAAATAATTGTTGAGATGGTATTTTTTATATACCAGGATAGGGCAATTGCCTGGCAGGCTTCAACCCAGATTTGGTCCCGGGTGCCCCTTATAATCCCTCAAGCCTTCTAGGAGTGATCACTGAGCATAGCGTCAGAAGTAAGATGTTAATACCACTGCTTGTGAAACTCCTTCAAAAAATAATAATAAATAAAGATTAAAATCTAAAGCATTCAGATAAAGAAACTGATGACACAGTCAACCATCTCCTCTGTTTTGATGATAGCTAAGGTCTGTTTCTCACTCATTTCTAAGGGGTGGGAGATAATTGTTTCCTTCAATCCATTTAGGTTCTTGGCTGAAACACCTCTGCTACTACCCCCTGCACTAAACAAAACTAGCTGGAAAAAAACTAATTTTATACTTATGAAAACCCACAAAGACACGTCACCAAAGCATTTTGTATATCTTTTTGTTGTGGGGCTTGTACTTGTTGTTGTACTTTTTTTTCCTTTATTGACGGGGGGCACACCTAGCAATGTTAGGATTATTTCTGCCTCTGTGCTCAAAGATGATCTTTGGCAGTACTCAGGGACTAAATGCAGTGCCTGAATTGCATGGCGGTGAATCAGTGCAAGAGAAGCACCTGGCCCACTGAACTATTTCACGGACCCCTACTATTTACCTGTCATTTCATGTGCTGATGTCTTCATAATGCTTACATTTCTGCTCTGCTTTCAAATTGTCGTTTACTTGAGAAGTAATTGATTTTCTATTTGCAGCGTTTCATACAGTGCTCTGGATCAAATGATAATTGAATTATTGTACATTTCTAGCATGTTAGGAAGCATTTAAGGATCATTTTGCCTTCAGGAATATTCTAATTTACAGTGTCTTGTAAAAGTTGCTGGGGTATTCTGTACTTGACCACATGTAGTTGAGTAGGTTTTTATGATGTACTTCATCATTCAGAAATGGAAATGTTTATTAATGTAGCATTGGGATCACATATATATTTTGACCTTTTATACCCTAAAATATTCAAATTTTCACTAGTTACTTTGTTTTCTTTCCTAAGGACTAACATAAATCACCGGTTTTTTAAAAAAGCTAACCAATTTCATCATCTCCCAGTTTTAACAACACACATATCACTCTCACGCTCACAAAATATTCCTTTAAGAATTACTTATTGTTGAGAACACTTGCTTTGTCAGACTTTAGTGGCCTGAGTGATAAAACAGCAGGTAGGGCACTTGCTTTGCATGCAGCTGACGTGGTTTCAATTCCTGGCACCCCAATGCTCCCTCAAACCTGCCAGGAGTTACCCCTGAACACTTCCAGGTGGAGCCCCAAAGAAAAAGCAAAACAAAACAAAATAACAACAACAACAAAAACATTGAGAAAACTTTTAGGCTGTATCTGTATCTTCAAAACCGTCAAAACTATAGTTTTAACTATGCCTCTTATTTTGAATAATTGTTTGGTTTCTTTACAATGCTAACAATGAATTGTCTTTGGTTTTTATACACGTGGCTATATATTATGAGAAAATTCTTGGATGCTCTTTCCTAACAATTTGTTGTGGATCTTATTTTGTGAGAAGAGGTTTCCTCAAAACACACATGATAACAAAAGGTACACAATCTGTCTCAAAAAAACAAACCTTTTTTTTTCTTATTTAATAGTCTAGATGCATTTGTTGTTCTCTTGAAAGCTTTATAAATTACTTTTTAGTAAAATGGAAAAGTAAAGTACATTATATCAAATCTATTGCTAGGGTTTTAAATATAGCATGAGCTTTCAACTTTCTTCTTACTTTAAGATGACAGTGGTTATGTTTTCCCCCAAAGGACAATCATATGAACAAAAGTTTTAAAAACAATATTCATGGGGGCTGAAGACATAGCCTAGGAGGGTGGAGCGCAGACCTATCATGCATAAGGTTCCTTGGTCAATTTTTGGTGCTGCCTGGACCTTGTGAGTACTGTTTAGTAGAGTCTTGCTGGCCCCAAGAACCTCTGAGTGCAAGTCTGGTGACCTCTATCTAGCATACCAAGGTTAGTTGCTGCACAGAGCAGCACTTCCAGGCCTTTGAGAGCCCACTGATGCTGGACCCAGTACCAGAGGAATCACCCCTGGACCCTGAAGCCCACTGGGGTTGGCCCTTATAGAAAAACAAAAATACCTCATCGATTTTATTACATTTTAATGGAACAATTTATAAATTAAAAGATCAGTTTTTATTTATTGTTGTTTTAGTTTGGAACCCATAGTCATCTCAGGGCTCATTCAGTGCTCTGTGCTCAGGGTTGACTCCTGAGCAGTTCTCAGGAACCATACGTGGCTCTAGGAATTGAACTCAAGCAAGGCAAGTGCATTAAGCCTTGAACTATCTCTACTGCCCTTCATTCCCGACCTCTTTTAGTTATTTCTGAACAAGAAATGGGTTGCCAAGTAAGCCTTATTCTTTTCAAAGGTGATGAAACTTACAGGTTTGAATGCATTTCAGCTCAGCAAAGTGGAGCAAAGACAATGAAGCTGAACATTTTGGAGTGTTTTATTGCCTTTGATAATAAACGGTCTAAAATTCTTTTGGTATTAGAATTTTTCCCTATTTGATAAAACTTCAAACTCTGCTAGTGAGCTGTTTACAACTATGCTATTGTTTCATGTTGCTCTTTTTCTGTCAGCTAAGGCAGCAGTTTTAATTAGCTTTAATAAAATTTGACTTGAACACTGAAATGAAACAAGTGGGTACAATTTATGCAGAACATATATTTGTTCAGATTTGTCATTAAAATATTAGAGATTTTGAAAGTCTCTATGAATAATTTCCACTTTTTCTAAAGGAATTATTTCATCTCTGCCCAAACACTGTACCATTTATGCATTTATACTTGGCATTTCTTGAGAACACTCTACTCTGCATTATATAACAGCTAGCTGCTAGTTTATTTTGAATATGAGATTCCATACTATTGTTTATCTATGCTACATGTCCCTTAACACAAAACTGAGCAAGGAAATAAAGGATTAAAAAAACCTACATCAAGACACAGTAACAACAAAGTCTCCAACGGAGACGTTACTGGGCCCGCTCGAGCAAATCGATGATCAACGGGAGGGCCTTTACTTACTTTACTTACAACATATTAAGTGTCTTAAATGCTTAAGAACTATTTTTTCAGTAGTCTTGGGATTCTTTTGAATAAGGATACATGTAAAATTTAATTTAGTTTAATTCTTTGTGGTTTACTGGCGCTAAGATACGTTGTGTATTACTCTAAATTCTTCTGTTCTATGTCTGTCTTATGTGCGTGTATTTTTCAGTTACTGGCTGACAAACAAAGTTCCCATCAAAAGGCCGAGCACAGGTCTCCTCATGTACACACTGGCCACAAGATTCTGTGACGAAATCCACCTGTATGGATTCTGGCCTTTCCCTAAGGACCTGAATGGAAAAGCTGTTAAATACCATTATTACGATGACTTGAAATATCGGTACTTTTCCACTGCAAGTCCACACAGAATGCCATTAGAATTCAAAACATTGAACGTGCTCCATAATAAGGGAGCTCTAAAACTGACAACAGGAAAGTGCGTAAAGCAATAAGCACATTGGAAGACTTGCAAACAAACTGAATAGGCACTTCTTTCCCGAAGATGCTTCCTACTGTTTGAGAAGAGGATCCCAAACTAGACTGCGTTTCAGCATCCGCCACCTAACCGGAAGGAGAAAAAGAATATTTGTGAGAAATTCACTACCAGCTGATGAAATACCTGCAAAGTGCTCTAAAAGTTAAACATTTTGACTTCAAAGGTCCTAGTAAGTGCCACTTCCACTAAGAACACAGTTTGAATGTATAATCAGTAGTGTTTACAAGATCCAACAATGCACTTGTCATTAGTCAGTGAAGCAAATATGTTCATCACAGTTGGGCCGCCATTGCAATGCCAAGCACATTAGAAGAAGAACACAGGAATACAACTCAGCCTTGGGGAAATCCAACTACCCTGGTCAGCAGAAGTCATGATGGAAACAGTTTGAGCCGTGAATGAGTTACGATTGAACAACTCAAACAATTGCCTTCAGTCAGGATTCCAAGTCTGATCATGAATTTGATTTGTTTCTGATTTTGTTTGTCTTCTAGATTATATTTTGGTTTGGGTATTGGGGTGCTTAGAAACCCTTTCTAAAATAAATTGAGTGAGACAAATAAATTATAAAAAGTAATCATTAATCAAGGTCTTATATTTTTAAGATGCATTCACAGAATAAGTATAAATTCTTTTATTTTGAAATTCAGATATCCAAAGGTGTAGAGGTACCAGTTAATCTGAGATGGGAAATTTAGTGGGGACAAACTATCATTGGTACCAAAGATTATTTCTGATGTTTCTACACAACCAACCATTTTCCTTTCATGGAAATACATTTTGCTACCAATGCGAAAGTTGCCTCTAGATATTTAATGTATCCCAAAATCAAACTTTGTGTTTATTTGAAGGGAGACCTCCACCACTTATCCACTTCAAAATCCTAAGGAAATATTTTGCCTTTTATAATAAATATTTGATTGAGAGAACTTAGTGTGACTCCCAGCTCTCCAATATCCTGCCAGTCTTCAAATGGAAAAACTGACATATTTTTTAAAGCAGTGTTAAATCTTGTTAGTGCCAAAACAACTAAGAGAATGTTGTCTCCATAACAGAGATAAATCATTGTAAGAGCTTTAAATAATGAAACACATCAGTAATCCACACTAAGATTGGCTAACATTTTGTTTAGTGTGGTTAAACCTAATCTCTTATCACGCTAATGCATCTTTCAAATAGTCCAAGAAGTTATTCATAAAATAATATTTAAAATTTTAGCATGTGGCAGAACTGACAATTAAGGGAGATTTCTAGTAAATTTTAGTCACACTGATAGGACATTTGTAAATTGTGTCTTTGGAAAGTAGAATGTGTCGTTTCTGCTCTTGGCCTGAAACAACTTGTTTCTTAGATTTTGAGGGAATAAGAAATAACTTGCAGAATAGGCTATCATGGAAAAGGCTATTATCAATAGCAAAGTTCTCAATATATTAGTAATGTGTGGTTTTAATTTTGAAATATGACAGAAACTTGGAATACATTAAATCTTTTTTCTGAGGAAATAAGTATCTGGAGGAAAACAAAATAAAATCCATAAAGGAGATCCATAGCTAAAATTCTGAATGTACTTTTCTCCTAAACCTCCCACTAGAAATTGTAAAATAATCATGTGTTTTGAATGTAAAGTTGAAAGGTCTGGTTTTTTGTAACAGGTCAAAAGGAAGTGGTTTATAGAAGTTTAATTTGAACAGTTTGTGGATCAATTGAGTGGCCTTTAATTTACAGACAAAAAGTAATAATAGAAATCACAACAATTCGTTAAAATTCATACCAGAAATCATTTAAAGTGTATCTTACGAAGAGGCAGCAAGGTCCCTGTTCGTTTTCACTGCACTTCCAATTAATGCATTGAAATGAATTTAAGGCCACAGTGAAAGTATCCTAGCTATCCACTGTTCTGTGCATTGGTGTCTATCTCATAGATGCATTGAGTAGTGCCTTTTCAGCTTCCCATTGCTATCCTTTCTCTAAGTTTGTTGCCCAGGTCTGAAAATGTTCAGCATATAAAAGGGCTTCAGTATTGACTGAGACTACTTTTGTTCATCTCAGGGAACTTTCAATACTCACGAATGAATTCAAATAAAGGCGTTTAGGGTTCGGAAAAGACAAACAATGCAAGGCCATTTCATCCTTACTGACAATATTTCCATCTCTCATCCTCCTTCACTAACTACTCTGGCCTTATGGCAGGGAAAGGGTAAGGGGTCATCAGAAGACCAACAGCTAGAGTAAGAATCAAGGTGAAACCAACAGAGGGGTAGTGTGGATCATGATGAAAATCAAATTATAAATACCAACCTGAAATACCTGTTTGTTTGCTTTTTTCGTTTGGAGCTCTCATATATTTACAGCTTTAATTTTTTACTGCTCTTTCATGATTTAACCCTATACCTGGCAGTACTCAGGCAGCTGGTTATGGAATATTCCTGTTCCTTAGAGAATATAGCAATTATTGTGCTGTTGGCATGAATAGGTCATGGAAGCATTTCATCATTATCACACAGACTGTTCAATACATAATATTAAGTTACGAATTTTAAAACAGTCAGCAACAGATTTTCTAGGCAAATACAATGTTTCAGCCCACAGAACTGCTGAAATTACTGTGGAAGTTTTTCTATCTGAAAGAAGGTGCTGGGCATTGAAATGTCTTCATGTATTGTATATCGTATGAATTGTAAATCAATTGCTAAATGGGAATTTCTACATATATGCTTACAGAAGCAATTTATTTAAATAATGCTAGGGGTAGTGTATATACCAACTAGTTATTAAGATACAACACAGGAAAAGGGTAAACAAAGTAATTTATTATTAATTGAACCAGTTAGTAATAATGCACACAATGTGGTATTTGGTTCATAGAAGAGTCGTTTTCAAGTGGTTATTGTTCGGAGTATCTATATTTGTGGAAAGGGAGTAGAAAGAGTCATGTATAGTTAGTTGTTTCCTCCACAATTTAAAAATTTTCCCCATCAAACATTATTAATATGCCAATGTTTTAAAAATTGAGTGACTAAGGGTTATTGTTTGCATTTGATAAAAGGAAATCCAAATAAAGCCCACCTAGAAATAGATATTTTATTATGTATGTGCTCTAGGTATACCTATATATTACAAATAGAGATGTGTGGTACATATATGCAAGGTTATATATGTGTGTCTGTGTGTGTGTGTGCAAACCAAGTCTGTAACAAACACACAATAGATTTGCGTTACAACATTTTCAGGGGCTGCACAGTGAAGCCCTCTGGAGATAAGACCACTGTAGAGTAAAGAAGTTCTTTTGAAACTTCAGTTACTAACCTACTTTAGGATGGCCCAACTTTAAAAATGAATTAATTCATGTCTAGAGTCACAGTCAGAGTCTGGCCTGCCCAACACTTAAAAAGAAAAGGAAAGAGAAAAGTTAAGAAACAACAGCCTTTGGGCTGGCAATGTAGTTGAATTGCAGTATTCAGATTGTGGCTCCAGGCCAGTGAAGTAGCACCTTTTAATAAATTCTATTTCTTTGTGTAGGTGAAAGCACAAGTGTTTCAAATGTACATAACAGGAAACAGAGTTTACAAAGATCGCATTGCTGCACAGGATAATTGCTACTGAGTATTTCTTATATTATTTGTAAAATTGGAAGCTGAGGTTTTTTTCTGTCAAGTTCATTTTGTTCAACACTGTCTCCCTATTGTTTATGTATAGCAATGTTTTATCATTGTAAAATTATAAAATAAATTAAATACTTTGTTTTTTTTTTTCAGTTTTTCTCATCTCTTCCATTCAGATCCTGGATTTCGTTTTAGAAATATAAAAGTGATCTTTTAAAATAATATTTAGTGATGCTTTTTTCCCCCTGACCCTTCAGTCCCAGTCATGGTAATCTGGCAAACCTTTGATGTTTAAGCATATCTATCAAACTTATGATACATAACATAAACCCCATAAACATTAGGGAAACTGTAGGAACTTATTTGTATGCTGTGCATTCTCGAGTGGTTTAAATGAAAGAAACAACATTACACAATTTGCAGTTACTTTATATCCAATTTACCTTTCCAATTTATATATTCAATTTTTTATCCAATTATATATTATATAGCTTTACAAAACTATATAATGCTTGCACGTCTACTCAGTATCCAATGCATTGTTAGAGCCAGTTGGAATATCTTTACTGATGCCAGTTGCTTTCACTAGCATCATGACTGAAAATAACAAGGTTACCCTGCACACTGTGCATTATGTTTGCCCTTGAGTTGTGATTTCAGCTGCAATCATACCTACATGCTACTGCAGTTCACCTTTTAGGAGATGATTTTCAGAAAGCACATATGCAATCTTCCTGCTGGGCACCATGTAACAAGAAAGCCTATGCATTATGTTCGATACTATTTTATTTACCCAGAAAGTATTGTCTGTTTTCATGAGGTCACTTTAGCATTGGACATATTTGAAACACAATGAAATGGTAACGGTGGTGAATGAATATAGATCATTTTTATATTTGCATAATGATCCTTTAGTTGCAAGGATTCGTAGATAGCACTTCATTCCTCTTTCCTTTGGATGCAATGAGATATCATCATGAGCTACAAGATTGGTACTGCAAATATTAAAGTTTCATACAAGAGATTAAGCAATAGGTCATTTTTTGCTTAATCTTGCCAAAGATCACAAAGCTCAGCAGTGAGAGAGCTAGGATTTGTATCCAAGCAATTTGTTCGAATACCATGTCCACCCTCTTTATCACCATTTTTGGTGCCACCTTTTAACTGGCAAGAAAATTTCCAGAAAATAAGTAATTATTTAAAAGGTAAAAGGTAAAGGCCCTCCCGTTGATCGTCGATTTGCTCGAGCGGGCCCAGTAACGTCTCCATTGGAGACCTTGTTGTTACTGTGTCTGGCATATCGAATACTCTCGGTAGCTTGCCGGGCTCTCCGAGAGGGGCGGAGGAATCGAACTCGGGTCGGCCATGTTGGCCGCGTGTAAGGCGAACGCCCTACCGCTGTGCTATCGCTCCAGCCCAAGTAATTATTTAATGATTAACAATTTTTAAATACAGCTAAGTAAATTGGAAGATATAACTTGAGTTTTGAAGAAGTCTAATAAGTTAATGCCTGTTCCCAGACAGAACAACCGAATGATAGGAAAAAATATACCTTCCAAGTCAACACTCTCTTCTGAGTGTTGTTGGATATTCATTGTCAATTTGTGTACCAAATTATTTCCCATTATTTTTTCAGGATTGGGGGAGAGCAACAGTGGAGCTCAGGGCTTATTCCTGGCTCCTCTCAGGATCACTCCTGGCAGGGCTCATGGGACAGCCACATATAAGGAAGTGCCATTCTTGCTCTACTCTTTTCAGCTCCCAAATATTTTTTTCTTTTTCATGCAGCTAGATTGCTCTTACAATAGAATCTAACTTTTATATATCACAAAATGTACTACATTGCACAGCTATTTAAAAGGAGGATTATGAAATTCCTAAGCAAATATTTTGATTACATGGGGTATGTATGACGAAAACATGTCAAACTCTGTAAATTACTAAAATTTACTCATATTATATTGATTTTTTTTTAATTTTAATTTGTCTTTCTTCCTGAGAATAG